TCAGCCAGCTATGCTGGCTGGAGAATTCTGGGAGTTGAAGTCCACAAGTCTTAAAGTCGTCAAGTTTGGAGACTTCTGCATTATATTAACTGTTGTTATCTTTTCGAAATCACACAGGGCTAAACCTAAAAGACAGTCCCCCCCACTCCCTCCTCTTCCAACAAGCGCCCTCTACCCCTCCCTTGCCAGGCTGGGATTTCCGCTCTGCCTACCTGAGAAGGTGTCTAGGGCAGTCGGCTGGTACTGGTCTGGGTATCCATTGGTGGTGTAGCTGACAATCAGGCTGGTTTTGCCCACAGCTCCATCCCCGATGAGGACACACTTAATGCCCAGCTCCGAGCCGCTCCCTCGGCTGGGGGTGCTGCTCCTTCGCAAGGTGGGCGAGTAATCCAAGAGCTCCTGAGGCGGCATGGCTGGAGGAGCCGGAAGGGAACCCCTTCGGCTTCCTCTTTGGAAAAAGGGGTGCGATTTGAAGCACAAAATGTTGCAGTTGGAGATGACGCTTGCTTGCTTGCTTTTCTGAAACCACCAAACCAAAAGAGCCCAGCCCAGTAACTTTCAGGTGAGGTGAGGGTGACCACCCGCGTATCAAGCCGACCTAAGAGCCCCGCTTCCCGAGCAAAGCGGCAGCTTCTCTTTTTCTGGGTTACATCGCTCAGGTGTCCCGGAGCAGTGAAAAGAGTAGCCAGGGCAGGTAGGTTTCTATCCTGGGCGGGAATTTCATCCTCTCAAGCTTTCCATTTAACTTCCCAGGTCTGTCAGGTGCTTTTGTTTTTCCTACGGCCTCCTTCATTTGCATAGGGCCACCTTCTTTCCCTGTAACTTGAGGCGGCGGCATCAGGATTGTCTCCTTTCTCTTGGAACTGAGCGCCAGCTAGGTAAGGCAAGCCGGTGGGATGAGCAACCCAAAGGCTCCCTGTATAAAAACACGAATATAAAGGGGGGCAAGTCTTGTTGGCTCAAAGTCCAAGCAAACAAAACAAGGTGGTTTTGGTGCAACTATCTCTTTTGCAACACGATACACCCCCTTCCCCCCAAACTATATGATGTAAATCGGCTTTTCTTCTCATCCTTGGCGATTTTAAGATGTGCGTGTGTCAATTCCCAGAATTACCCAACCTGATTGGGGAAAATGTCTCGACATTTCGTAGGCAAAAGGATTCAAGGATATGCATGCAATCCTCTTCTGAGCCCTTGGAGAACTATAATGGAAAAAAAAATCAAAAATCAAATAATGAACGCTTCAGGAAGTGGGTCACTTAGCACCTGATTCATAAACCCCAATCTGATTTGTTTTCCTCAGCCTTAGCTGCAGTTCCCAGATACTTCCCAACCTATCTCTTTTGGACCCAAGATGGGATTTCTTCCATTTCCCTACTTTACTTCGGAGTTTCCATGACACAGATGGGATTGAGATGTGTTCTCAGTAATAACAATTTACCAAGAACTGGTTTTTAATCTCCCACCATAGTTAGGTGTGTGTTTTTATAATATATATACTGAAATCCTTTCACAGTTCCATTCAGTCACAGTACAGACTGGAGATACAGGATATCCTTTAACAGATTTTTCACAGCTCAAATTCTATATCCCTGGCCATATAATTTTGGCAGCCATGGGCTTCATCTCACCACCATTTGCTTTATCCTCAAGTTATTATTAGTCAAGATATTGGTTGTGCAAGGCATTTGAAAGGGGTATTTTGCAACATTTTGTAGCAGAAATGAAGCTTTCTCTTCAAACCATTAAAGCAGTTGTGCTTTATATGCAAGCTTGTTTGGCTGTTTGTGGAGGCTGACAGATATATATACACCATCCATATGTCCCTATGGAAAGACTAATCACATCCTACCCACCTAATTTTTGCACAGGGACAATACTTAATTTTTTTTGCTTGTTATTGCATGCAAATATAACTTGGCACAGGACCTCTGATTAGCACTTCTTTCCATTGCAGATTTATTTGCATAAAGGCATATCTAAGCCATGCAAGTCGATGGAAACAAGTCTTGGCCTAAGCTGAGTCTTCCTGTTATATTGCAGACGTAGCAGATCAGTTTCGGGGAAAAGACATCATTCATGTGTCCAGCAAGTATGAAGTATCCACTTGTACTCATATGAATTATTTTAAACTATGGCTAGTTTATATGCATTTACAGGTGAAACTCAAAAAATTAGAATATCATGCAAAAGTTCACTTATTTCAGTAATGCAACTTAAAAGGTGAAACTAATATATGAGATAGAATAGACTCATTACATGCAAAGCAAGATAGTTCAAGCCGTGATTTGTCATAATTGTGATGATTATGGCTTACAGCTCATGAAAACCCCAAATCCACAATCTCAGAAAATTACATGCAATCAATAAAACAAGGATTGTACATAGAACAATATTGGACCTCTGAAAAACATAAGCATGCATATGTACTCAGTACTAGGTTTGGGCCCCTTTTGCAGCAATTACTGCCTCAATGTGGCGTGGCATGGAAGCTATCAGCCTGTGGCACTGCTGAGGTGTTATGGAAGACCAGGATGCTTCAATAGCGTCCTTCAGCTCTTCTGCATTGTTCGGTCTCATGTCTCTCATCTTTCTCTTGGCAATGCCCCATAGATTCTCTATGGGGTTCAGGTCAATGAGTTTGCTGGCCAATCAAGCACAGTAATCCCACAGTCATTGAACCAGGTTTTGGTGCTTTTGGCAGTGTGGGCAGGTGCCAAGTCCTACTGGAAAATAAAGTCAGCATCCCCCATAAAGCTCATCTGTGGAAGGAAGCATGAAGTGCTCCAAAATCTCCTGGTAGACGGCTGTGTTGACTCTGGACTTAATGAAGCACAGTGGACCAACACCAGCAGATGACATGGCTCCCCAAATCAACAGACTGTGGAAACTTCACACTGGACTTCAAGCATCTTGCAGTGTGTGCCTCTCCATTCTTCCTCCAGACTCTGGGTCCTTGGTTTCCAAATGAGATGCAAAAGTTGCTCTCATCAGAAGAGGACCTTGGACCACTGAGCAACAGACCAGTTCTGTTTTTCTTTAGCCCAGGTAAGACACTTCTGACGTTTGTTGTTCAGGAGCGGCTTGACAAGAGGAATACGACATTTGAAGCCCATGTCCAGGATCCGTCTGTGTGTGGTGGCTCTTGATGCACTGACTCCAGCCTCAGTCCACTCCTTGTGAAAGTCCCCAGCACTTTTGAATGGCCTTTTCCTGACAATCCTCTCCAGGCTGCGGTCATCCCTGCTGCTTGTGCACCTTTTTCTTCCACACCTTTCCCTTCCACATAACTTTCTATTAATGTGTTTTGATACAGCATTTTGGGAACATCCAACTTCTTTTGCAATTACCTTTTGAGGCTTTCCCTCCTTATGGAGGGTGTCAAGGATGGTTTTCTGCACAGCTGTCAGGTCAGCAGTCTTTCCCATGATTGTGATTCCTACTGAACCAGACTGAGAGACCATTTAAAGGCTCAGGAACCCTTTGCAGGTGTTATGGCTTAATTAGCTGATTTGAGTGGGACACTTTGAGCCTAGAATATTGAACCTTTTCACAATATTCTAATTTTCGGAGATTGTGGATTTGGGGTTTTCATGAGCTGTAAGCCATAATCATCTCAATTATGACAAATCATGGTTTGAACTATCTTGCTTTGCATGGAATGAGTCTATCTCATATATTAGGTTCACCTTTTAAGTTGCATTACTGAAATAAATGAACTTTTGCACGATATTCTAATTTTTCGAGTTTCACCTGTATACAGTGTAGGAGATTTGGGGTTGTGTCCAACTGAAGTGCCCATTCTTCTGTTAGAAGATCCCGTCTATGATGAGAGAAGGGCTAAACTATGAGGCAGGAAGCAACAATTCTCAGGGTAGAGACAGAATTGTAAGGTTAGTATGGAATATATATTTCTGGTTCTCAAGGACAGTGGGGAAAACACACAAAAAACAGTATGTTGATTTGAAAGAATGGGAGGGAAAGACCTAGAATTTAATTCCTGGGGTGTGTTCTCTGTCTCTCTCTCTCTCTTCTCTGTCTCTCTCTGTCTCTCTCTGTCTCTCTCTCTCTCTCTCACACACACGTAATAGTCAGATCTTCTGCATATATATGACTTCCTTCTTGTCTGGAATAAAGCAACTTACCTATCTGTGGCAATTCTATGAAGATTTTCCTGTTACCAGATGCAAAGCTGAGCATTTGAAGAATCAATTATTTTATTGGCATGCCTGGTATGAAGATGGACAAGGGGCAATTGAATTTAGCTATTATATTTTCTACTGTGTCTAATTCAGTTTTTTCCCCACCTTGTGTCCTCCAGGTGTGTCAGACTTCAATGCCCTCTGACTATATTTTATCTGTTCTGGTTGAGAATGAATGTACATCCAAGAAATCAATCCATTCCAAACCATGGTAATGCCAAAATTATAAAACATACATTGTGATGTCATGATGCAAGCTGGTTTCTTTTGTTACTTGAATTACAATGTCACTCAAATACGTAAGTAGTAGGGTTTCCGTCATGGCTGCACATCACTTATCTTCTCCTTATGATGTCTATGTATCTGAGACAAGAATAGCTAGTGGGGAGCTGGAAACAGTTCAAGAATAAAATGCTGTCTATCTAATCCCCAGTAATAGTCCTCAGTTAACTACTGCTCTGTTTAGCAACTTACAACAGCACTAAAAAAGTTTTATAACCAGCACTTACAATGGTTGCAGCACTTACAATGGTTGTAGCACTTACAATGGTTGCAGCATTTCCATGATTGCAATTTAGGTGTCTGGCAATTAATGCACAATTACAATGGTTGCAGTGTCCTGTGGTCATGTGATCACCATTTGCAAGTTTCACGGCTGGCTTCCAACAAGCAACGTCAATGGTAAAGACAGCAGAAGGTCACAAGTTGTGGTTATGTGATGTTGCCCTTACTGACTACAGGTAATTCACTTAAATATTAGTAGCAGAACTGATGTTGGGTATACTTACACAATGTTTCACTTAATGACTGTGTCATTTAATAATGGAGTTGCCAGTCCCAACTGTGGTTGTTAAACGAGGACTACCTTTTTGTAAGTATAAATCTGGTCTGCAAAGTGGGATTTCATTTCTCACTTGCCTTTACCCCAAAATATTTCCCATCATTTTGCTTTCTGTAAAAAAATCAAACTCAAAAGTCATGATATGCCAAAGTATAGGAATTCAAGTAGATGTTACTCCTATAGGCATACAGTTCAGAATTAAGGCAGAAAGGGGCAAGTATGTTGTGTTGAACTATATGGTTTACAAACAAGAAAAAACAGAGGAGCAAAAGTTGTTAGTCTTCAAGAACAGAGAAGTTGTTGCTCCAGAGGTCAACATTTACCTTTTAACATGACTGATAAAAGGTCAAGATTTATTGACCTATTGAGCAGAACGCTTATGTCATCCTTTTCAAACTTTAAATGGCATCTTTGAGTAAAGAATGGTGACAGATTAAACCAGTGATCTGACCAATTTGTTGGATTTTTCTGACTGCTGATAGCAGAATGGGAAATTGTGTAGACAAAGAGTCAAGGATGCAGGTCTCTGATAACTAAGACTATTGCAAGAGTAACAGAAGCTGTTAAGAATTCCAAGGACTGCCCGGTATAAAATACAAGCCCACTTTATAGTAAATTTGGGTTTGATCTTTGGCTTTCTCGGTGGCCTGCTGTTATGGTCTTAAGCCTCCCTCTTCCTGGGGAGAAGTGTCCCTTGTTATGGTGATGGGCTAGATTGGCTCTGGGCTATTTACCTCTAACCTTGCTAAAACTCACAGAGAAGCTCTACTGATTGTGAGGCAGCCTTCACTCTCACAAAGAGTTGTAAAATCTGAACAGAATTCACTGGAGGAGTCACCAGACTGGCTTTGTTTGTCACTTTAAAAATCCACTGCTGGTGAATATGCCTCACTGTAGGGCTCTAGGCAGTTTACAATGTAAAACAATAAAAAAATAACCTCCCATACAAAATTCACTGCAACAATCAATCATACTCTATCTGGATTGCTTAGTATTTCCTCAAAGAATTGTTGCTGTTGTTAGTTGCGAAGTCCTGTCTGACCCATCGCGACCCCATGGACAATGTTCCTCTAGCCCAGTGGTCCCCAACCTTTTTTGTACCAGGGACCAGTTTCAAGCAGAAACACTTTTTCAAGGACCGGGGAGGGGGGGAGTCCGAGTTTGGTGGTTTGCTTGCAGACGTTTCATTACCTGACTAGGTAACACCTGATGTTGTTACCTAGTCGGGTAATAAAACGTCTGCCAGCA